TGTATGAACACGAAGTTTTTTTCAAGTAACAGTCCCTGTGTAGGGCAAAAAGAAGGCAAAAAGGGCTCGCACCTTTCCCTGAAGGATATCACCCAGATCTCGCACATCAGTCTACTTGCATCCCATTGGCCAGGACATAGCCACATGGCTATCCCTAGCTGCAAGGGAAGCTGGGAGTTGTAGTCTTTAGCTGGGCAGCCGTGGGCCTGGCCAGATAGGATACTACTATGGCGAAAGTGAAGAGGCAGTTGTGCAAGAGGCTAGCAGTCTTTTCCCCAAAGGAGATCCTGATTCTGGTTATTGTTTCTCTGCCCCGCAGCCAGTTTCAAGCGCCCGGTGGTGATCCTGGGACCCGTGGCGGACATTGCTATGCAGAAGTTGACTGCTGAGATGCCTGATGAGTTTGAAATTGCAGGTGAGAAACCAGGTCCTGTTCATGGGTGAATTGCTTCGTAACCCTTCCCCAGTCTCTAGGTTGAAGCAGCCTGATGAGTGGGCTGCTAATGATGCTGTTTAGGAGAAAGAGTTACAGCAGCCATACCAAACATGAGGCAGGTCAGCCACCAGAAGCCCCCTCCAATGCCTGGGCCAGACATCCTCAATCAATCTTGGCCCTCTTTGTCCAGATAAAGCCTCAGAATCCTTCCTAACACAACTCACCTGGCAGCCACTGCCAATTGAGCCAAATGGACAATTGCCAATGATCCATTCATTTGTTCAAGAGATTATCAACCTATACACTCAGCATCAAACAAAATATACAAGGTCCCAAGAAGACCAGAAATTAACAACTACAGAAACAATAAGCTAGAGTAGCTGCTGCTGCTGCTGCTGCTGCTGCTGTTAGGAGTTCTCTCGAGGGTCTTGGGGGGCCATGGTGGGTTCTGGAGCAGGGGTAGGGCAGGAAAACAGGAATTTGAAGGGCCAGCAGACTGCCCTCCTGAAGCTGCCAGCCGCCTCTCCCCTCCACAGAGAGCGTGTTGAGGACCAACAGCCCCTCCAATAAATTAGAGCAGCAGATTACTGCTCCTGGGCCAAATCTGGCTGTTTTTACTCAGCCTGCTAATTCAGAATGGTTTTTATTTATTTTAAATGGTTGAGAAGATGTTAAAACAATTTCTTGTGACACCTGAAAAGAATTGAAAGCTGCAACTTGAACAGATCCCTGTACACGAAGGTTTGTAGCAGCATGATTCCCAGCAGCCAAAAGGTGGACACAACCTGGTGTCCATGGACAGATGATGGATAAGTAAAATGTGGTCCACCCAGACAATGGAATATTACTCAGCCTTAAAAAGGAAGGAAATTCCGACACCTGCTGCACCATGGATGGACCTTGAGGACATGATGTCCAGTGAGAGAAACAGACACAGAAGGCCACACACTGTCTAATTCCACTCACAGGAGGTCCCTAGAGGAGTCACATCCAGAGACATGAAGTAGATGGTGGGGGCTGGGAGCTGGGGGAGGGAACGGGGAGTGAGTGTTTAAAGGGAACAGAGTTTCAGTTTGGGAAGATGAGAAAGCTCTTGAGATGGATGGTGGGGAGGGTTGCACAATGTGAATGGACTTAGTGCTACTGAGCTGTGCACTTAAAAATGCACATTTTATGTTACACACATTTTACAACAAAGAGAAAAAAGATGAGGTCATGTCCCCCGCCCTTTTAGGCTCCCCCTAAGGGCAGGGCGTGCCTCACCTTCAGCTGCCAGGCTATCTAGGAGGGCTTCCTGGAGGAAGCAGTGCTGTGTCTCAGGTGCTAGAGGACACAAGGGGTATGGGAGAGTAACTTCTTCCAGGTCACAGCCCGAGCAAAGGCCCAGAGTTGGGACTGAGCCTGGGAGAGTGAGTGTCTGGAGCACAGACATAAGCCTCCTCACAGGGCCTCTCATTGGTTCAGTGACTCTGAGCTAGGGACCTTATGTCCCTGAGGCTCAGTTTCCTTGTCCACCAGATGGGACACTCCTGTTCAGGAGGAGAAGGTGAGGGCCATGGTCAGGAGGGGACCCAGTGTGATGTCCGGCATGAGGCCAGCAGGAGCTGCTACTGCTGCTGCTGTTAGGAGTTCTCTCAAGGGCCCTGGGGAGCCATGGTGGGTTCTGGAGCAGGGGTGGGGCAGGAAAACAGGAATTTGAAGGGCCAGCAGACTGCCCTCCTGAAGCTGCCAGCCGCCTCTCCCCTCCACAGAGAGCGTGTCAAGGACCGACAGCCCCTCTAAGATCATCAAACTGGACACCGTGCGGGTGATTGCAGAGAAAGTAAGCTGGGCTCTGTGTGGGTCCCATGTCATGGATGCAGAAACAGAGACACTGTGGCCTGGGCTATTACCAAGCCCCACTTCAATATGCTGGCCTGTGGATGTGAAGCCGGGGTCCACTTTGACCTCAGACTCTTCATCTCTCTGATTCTTCACCTGTGTCTTTGGCTTGTCTCTGATGCTCTGTCTCTGGGTGCATTTTTCTCTCCACTGTCTCTCTGTCTCCCTCCCCAACTGCCCCCAACGCTGGACTGGCCCAGGACAAGCACGCACTCCTGGATGTGACGCCCTCAGCCATTGAGCGCCTCAACTATGTGCAGTACTACCCCATCGTGGTCTTCTGCGTCCCTGAGAGCCGGACAGCCCTCAAGGCACTGCGCCAATGGCTGGCACCTGCCTCCCGCCGCAGTTCCCGCCGCCTCTACACACAGGCCCAGAAGCTGCGGAAGCACAGCGACCACCTCTTCACAGGTGGGGCGGGAGCTGGGGGTCTGGGGTGGGTGGTGGGTCCCGGCCCGAGACTCCTGGACACACTGATGCCCCCTCCCCACAGCCACCATCCCCCTACTCGGCACGAGTGACACCTGGTACCAAGAGCTCAAGGCTATTATCCGCGAGCAGCAGACCTGGCCCATCTGGACGGCCGAGGACCAGGTACCTGGGCCAGGATATGAAGTTAGGGCTGGGTCAGGGGTCAGGGACCCGGGGTGTGTCTAAGGCCAAGATCTGACCTGAGGCTAGGATCTGGACCTGGTTCCTGGGGTGAGATGGGATTGGGGGACTTGGTTTGGGGCTGGAGTCAAGGGTTGGGGTTTAGCTCAGACTCAGGGGCTTAGCCTTGAGCAAGGTCAATGGTCATAACTCACTCTGGGGTCAAGGGCTAAGCCTCAACTTAAGGTTGAAGACTGGAGTTTGAAGGATGGTGTCCTGGGTCAGAGGTTTGGTCTAAGATCAGGGAGGGCCGGGGCTGGGGGTCTTGGCTCAGCCAGGCCACACACTGCACACCCACAGCTGGACAGCTCCTCGGAGGACAACCTGGACCTCCCTCACCGTGGCCTGGCCGACAGCTCCGCAGATCTGAGCTGTGACAGCCGGGTCAACAGCGACTATGAGACAGATGGCGAGGGTGGTGTCTACACGGACGGCGAGGGCTACACGGACGGCGAGGGCTACACGGATGGCGAGGGTGGGCCCCACGTGGATGTGGATGAGGGGCCCCCGGTGCCAGCCCTGGCCCGGTCCTCGGAGCCTGTGCTGGTGGACGAGCCCCAGATCCTGCAGGATCATGGGAGATCCTTGGGTCACCGGAGGACCCAGGTGAGCAGAGCACTGGGGTGGCCCCGGCAGAGGTCTTGGGACGGGGCAGAGACACAAGGCGGGGCCTATTTTCTGCCAGGATGTCAAGAAACAGACATTTCCCTGATCAGATCAGTACCTGGGATCTGGACCTAAGGTGTCTGGACCACTGAGTCACTTAAAGTAAATATTTTAACTTCTGCATGAGTTTCCTTATCTGGGATACAGGGATTGATGACGAAAGTCCTGGCGTCACAAAGGTGGTTGTGTAAACTCGATGCACTTACTCCAAGTCCTGGCCCACAGAAGTTGGGTGCTTAACAACAGCAACGATTGACTTAGTGCTTATTCTGTGTGGGGCTCCCGCAGCTCCTGAGGTGCCTTTCTGTGAATCCCTCCAGACTCTAGGGGAATGTAAAAACGCACAAATGCCGCTGGTGCCTCCGGCAGGACGGCGCTCTGCAGGGCTGTGCAGCACCCAGCCTGCGCACCGTCCACGGCGCCCAGCTTCCAAGGCCGGCTCCGGTCTGAGCGCTTGGCATACACACACTCATTACTGAGCTCCTGACCACAGCCCTCTGAAGAATGTCACAGATGGGAAACCTAACTCTCCCTTTGGTGACAGGCTGGGAGATCTCAGCCAAGGCCCTCCCCTGTCCCAGCCTGTTTTCTCCTTGAAAACTGGGGATGAGCTCCAGACTTGTGTGGGGAGAAGGAGGAAGCCTGTGGGTAGCACTGCCTGGGCGAAGGTGGGGAGGCTGGACAGGGGGTGGTTACTCACCCCAATCTATCATACTTTGAGGGGAAGTGTTAACCTCCTTTTTCTCTCTCCAAGGTGGGTGGCCGCCATCCACAGGGTCAGTGGCAACAGGACAGCATGCGGTAAGAGTCCCTGTACTCCACGCTGGGGCCTTTCAACCCTCTCCCTGGAATCCAGGGTTTGGGGGTGGAGAACACACCTAGAACCAAGCTATACCTTCACGGTGCTCGAGCCTAGAGAGATAGAGCCAGACAGAACCGCTCCAAGGCCCACGTAGTCAGGGCCATGGGAGTATGAATCCTCTTCCTGGGAAGACTGAGAAGGCTTCCTGGAGGAGGGGACATTGGAGCTGGGGTTTTGAAGGGTGTGTAGGAGTTTGCTGGGTTTGCTCATCTCTGCCCACACCCACTGTGCCTAGCACAGAGTCGAACTCAGTCAATGGCAGGTAAGTCCACATCCCCTCCACCCCCAGCCTCTATTCTATTTTCTGATCTCCAGGACATATGAGCGAGATGCTCTAAGGAAAAAGTTTACACGAGCCCGAGATGTGGAGTCCTCTGACGAAGACAGCGGTGACTGGGGCCCGGCCACTGACGTGTGACCCCTCCAGGTGGCCAGCGGGCCTGACCTCCCTTTTCCTCCCTGGAGCCCACGCTCAGTTTCCCACACGGAATCTAGGAACTTGCCTCCCTCCGCCTGGTCTTTAATAAACAGTATTTTCACAGCACTGCATTCTGGTGACTTCCAGGGATGAGGGGCCAGAGTCAGGCGCTGTCTTTCCTCTCTCGACCCCACAGGCCCTGATCCGAAACCTTGCCCATTTGATAAGCTTTTAATTTTTTCCATCAGAAAATAATATAGAATATAGAACCAGGAAACCTTTGGGGCCCTGGTCAGCCGAGGAGGGTCCGTGGATGGAGTTCCAGGCCTGGTGGGGGCTAAGGCACAGTGGTGGGGGTGTAGGTGGCGGATCACAGGTACACGGGCTGCTCCTGGCCTGTGAGCAGGCGGTAGGTGGCGGCTGGCATGGTCTTGATGTGGACCTGGGGGCAGAGAGGAGGCAGCGGCTGGGGGGGGCTCCTCCCATCAGGCCCCGCCCACCCAGGGCCCGCCCACCACCCACCGCCTCGAACCTCAATGTGGGCCTCGGTGAGAAGCTCGATGATGCGGGCGTGCGGCGTGGCCACCACACTCTGCCCGTTGATCTCAATGATGCGGTGCCCCACGCGGACACCCCCGCGCTCGGCGATACCGCCTCGGAGGAGACTGCAGATCTGGGGGAACAGGAAGGGCCACAAAGCTCAGGGGGGCCACAATCGGGGCTGCCCGCCCCCACGTGGTCCCCGGGCTTGGGGCTCACGATGCCATCCTCCACGCAGAAGCCCAGCTGCTCGCGGACGTGGGGTCGGCGGATGATGGCCGTGGTGACCGGTGGGCAGTGGACGATACTGAGGGTCACCAGCATCTGCGACTTCACTTCCTGTGCAGGTCGGGGGCTGTTGGCTTGGCTGGGCCTCCGGGCAGGGGGCTGCCAGACTTCTTGCTGAGCTGCAGCCCACCCTGGGCCTCGGTTTACCCACCCATAAAACAGAAGCTGTAGAGTCTAGAAGACCCCTCGAGAGTCGGTTAAGAACAGAGACCAGAGCCGGGCAGCCTCACCTCCCTGCCTCCCTGGGCCTACTTTCTCAAGGTCAAAAGCAAGGTTCTAGCGATGCCCATGGGGCAGGGTTACAAACACTCAGCAATGGGCTGCAGGGACCACATCAGACCTGCCCTTCCGGCCTGGCCAGGTCCCTCCTCATCTCTGGGCCTCAGTTTCCCCATCTGGGCAATACAGTCAAGACTCAAGAACACGCTCGCTGCGTGGTAGCAAGAGAGGAAAGGCCTGCCGAGTTCCAGTCTTGCTCCCGCACCAGTGGGGTCTCCCTGAACAGCGACTTCCCCTCTCGGAGCCTCAATTTCCTTAAGTGCACAGGAGCGAGCAGGACTAGAAGCTCTACCTGTCCCTTCGGGACAGGGCCTCAGAGACCTGGCCAGGGAAGGGACCTCTGGGGACACAGGCCTGCCCTCTGGGGGGCCCTCGCAGGCCCTGTGCCCCTGCCAGCCCGGAGGACTCACGCGGACGGCGGCCTGGCAGGCAGCCAGGGGCAGCCCTACCAGGCTGGTCCCATTGACGGCGGTGATGCGGTCCCCGATGCTGAGGGCCCCCGAGCGCTCGGCGGGGCCCCCGTGCAGCAGGTTGGCAATGACGGCCGTGGGCAGCAAGGAGCCCCAGCCTGACTCCACCAGGGCCACGCCCAGAGCCTCGCCCCTTCGTTTCTCGATGCAAACCTGGTGGGGAGGGCAGGGATTGAGGGCCGCTTGGAGGGGACAGGGGTGGGTGGGAAGGAGCTGGGGCAGGGCTGAGGGCCCCTTGGCGGGCCCAGGTCGGGGGATCTGCTGGCTCACCTCCCTGCAGTTTTCGCTGTTGGAGAAGTGGTCGAGGTCCCCATTGTGGAGGTGGCCAGGGCCTGTGGCCCCCTGACACTGCTGGGTGCCCACCTGGCTGGGGTCCACCCCGCTTTCCTGCAGGAACTGGCTGTAGGCCATAGCGAAGGCCTGGCCAATGGCCTGAGCGATGAGCTGGGCCTGTGGGGAGGGGTGTGGCACCTCTCTGGGCGGCCCACCCACCTCCTTCAGGCCCCCCTAATCTGACACCCCCAGAGCCCACCCTCCCACCCCCAAGCTGAGAATCTACGGGGGGAGGGGAAGGGAGACAGGCCTGGGCGGGGAGGTCTTTGGGAGTTGGCCACCAGTCTCAGGGTCTTATGGGAAGGTTTGGAATATATGGCTCAGGGTCCTCTCGGAGGGGACGGCGGAAGGATGCTGGGGTGATAGGTGTGGCTCTGGAGGAGGGCAGGGGCTGGCCCGCATCCCCCTCAGCCCCAGGACAACCGGAGCCCCCTGCTCACGTCCTCAGAGTGGAACACATGGCAGATCATCTTGTAGAGCCGGCGGCCGTGGGCCTGGGGTGCGGGCCGCTGGGCCAGCCGCCGCCGGGCCATGAGCACCAGCACGCTGCCGATGTCGGCGATGTAGGAGATAGTCTGCAGGGCGTGGTCCATCAGGGCCTCCTGGAGCAGGTGGGGGAGACCAGGCTGGGCTGCGGGGACCTCGCTCAGTCCCACCTTGGGGGAGCCCTCACACCCCAGGGGCCAGGCCCGCCCCATACCTGGGAGTCGGCCATCAGAACCTTGACTCTCTTGGTGGAGATGAAGAGGTCCACCTCTGTCATGGGCTGAGTTTCCCCGTCTGGAGCCTGTAGTGGGTGGGGTGGGAGGTGGAGGCCCCCAAAGACCCAGCTTTTACCCCACCAGGCTCTGGGGGCCTCAGAAGACCTGGGCCTGCGGCCCATCTGCCTGCTCGCCCACCCGCCCGCCTGGCTTCACCTTGACACGGTCCATAGCCTCCTGGGCCTGTGCCATGCGCGTGCTGGGGGGCGGGTTCCGCTCGGACACCAGCTGGGTGGAGCCCAGGTATTTGGCCCCGAACATGACACCGTCTAAGAGGTCTTCGTGGTCACAGGGGCCAGAAACTGAGGGCGACAGCAGAGGCAGGTCAGTCCCCTAGAACTACGAGGCTCGTCCACCGGCTGTGGGCTCTGCCCAGGGTCTTGGCTCCCGAAATGGGCTGGAAGCATAGAGAGTTCCACCCTGCAGCTCAGCACTCTGGGCTGCACAGGTCCTCCCACTGTTCCAGAACCACGGACCAGTGACTCAGCCCTCACAGAGTGGAGCCCTCGTTGGTCTAGAGTTGGCCCTGCCCATGGCTTGGGGTCTCCTAGGCAGAGGGCACTGTTTCAGGACCCCGCTGTGTGTCCAGAGCCATGGCCAGATCCAAAAATAGCTCTAGTGCTTCCAGACCCCTCCACCCTGTGTTTCTAGAATTCCAGGATCAGGCTAGAGCCAGACAGTCCCAGTCCCATATCTAAAACCTGCACCATTACAGAACCACGATCAACCCCATTCCCTGGTTCTGGAACCCCCTAATCTAGAGCCAGTCAGCTCCGCCCCTTGTTCTAGCATTCTCCCCTAGCAGCCCAGGACCAGACAGAACTCTACCCGCTGGTCACAGAACTGCCCAAAGAGCAGGAAGAGGCAACTGTCCACACATCTAAACCTCTCCTACCGTCCAGAATCCTGGGTGGCTCCTGAGCTATGTTTCCAGAACTTCCTGTGGTTTCAAACCACAGAATTCTGCCAGGGGTTCTAGAAACCTACCTCACCCCGGGATTAGACCTTCTCACCCTGTGGTTCTAGAACTTCTTAATCATGGCAGCACTGAGAAGCTCTCCCTATGGTTCTAGAATCCCCTCAGTAATTCACAACTGCAGATGCACCCAGTAATTCTAAGAATTATGTGAATGGTTCACAAACAAGGCTGCTTATAGTTCCAGAACCCCCCAACCCAGCCCAGAACCGCAGAAAGCCGTATCCCCATGGCTCTAAATTCCCTGAGCAACCTAGAGCCAGACAGCTCTGCCAGTGGTTCTAGAAGATTCTAACCCATCGCTATTGCTTTTTGGTTCAGAACCACAGGTATAGATCCCAGGAAATTAAACCATATCCCTGTGAACTTAAATGCCAGCCAGCTCTGCCCACTGCGCTTCATGATCTAAGCATTCCAGAACAACAGATAAGGCTACTATGGCGTCCTAGAACTTCACCACCCACTACGGTAGCCACCAGATGCATGTGGGTATTTTGCACTTGAAATCTGGCTGGTCTGGACTGAGATGCGCTGTACCAGATGCACGATGGGTTTCGAAGCCCTCATATGAAAATAATGTAAAATAATTGTAAAATGTTGATTCTATATAGAAGTAGTATTTTATATATACTGGGCTAATTAATATGTTATTAAGTGTTTTTTTAATGTGGATAACTAAAAAAATTCCAAGTGACATGTGGCCCAAATCATATTTCTATCATATAGCTCTAGAACTTTCTGATGACTCTAAAACTGGACAGCTCTGTTCAGTACAGCTCCTCATGGTTGAGAAGCAGAAATAAATTTTATTCACTCCATGGTTCTAGGACTTCCCATCTGAGCAGAACCCGGCAGCTCTGTCCACCACTCCAAAACACCCTCGTCAGCCCGGTCACTTTAATCTAGAGCCCCAGGCAAAGTGCCAGGTTCTGGAGCTACCTGAGCGAGTCAGAGCTCCACCCATGACTCTAGAACCTCTTGGAACTAAAAGTCCAAACCTGCTCCCTTTCCCACAGCCACAAAACTTGTTCTTTGATCTAGAGCCTCAGGTAGTTTTGGGGGGGGAAAGTCTAGAACATTCCAGGTGGCCAGAACGGTTCTTCTCATGCCTTGAAGGCAGCCTGGCAAACTTTTCTGCAAAGGGCCAAACGGTCAACACTTTACAGGCTACAAGGTCTCTGTCGCAGCTCTTCAGCGCGACTGCTGTAGCAGGAAAGCTGCCATGGACAAGTGAACGGGTGGGCGCGACTCTGTCCCGATAAAACTTTGTGGACACGGACTTTTGAGCTGCCTATCATTCTCACATGTCAGGAAATATTCCTAACTGTTTTCCACCATTTAAAAATACAGAAGCAACCTTAGCTCAGAAGACATCCCAGAACAGGCTGCAGGCTGGGTTTGGCCCACGGATGGTAATGTGCTAAGCCTCGCTCTAGAATTAAGTGCTACAGTTTACCAAGCCTGCCCTACCACCCCCTACTCATTCTCAAATGTTCTCCAGACTGTCTCTGGAACCTACTCGAAACCAACTTCAGAGCCTCTCTAGAAGCAACTCTTTACTGGCAAACTGTGCCAGATTTTGGGAGCTTGAGTCAGGCTGTTGTGAAACCCCTGAGTCCCTGGGGCCAGGGTGGGCGGCACACTCACCCTCCCGGAGGGCAGGGTATGAAGCCAGGGTCTCGGAGCTCTGGAAGAAGACAGAAGAGGGGCAGGCCTGAGTCCGCCTGCTTGGCTCCCGGCAGTGGAGGCAGCCTGGAGTGTGGGGTGGGCTCTACCTGGGCAGTGGCAGGTGACTCTTCAGGAGCCACCAGAGGTACTGTCTCCAGCCAGGGTTCTGGGGAGCTGCTTGAGCTGCCACCCCGCTCGGCCGAGGCCCCCTCTGCCCACTCTGGGGGGCCAGCATCGCCCTCTGGGTCCTCAGGAGGCTGCAACAGGCGAGGAGCAGGGTCCGGAGGTTCCGTGGGGCACGACTGGGGAGGAGAGCACTCATCTTGCTGCAAAAGGCTCAGCAAGTCGTCCCGGCCGGCCTCGGCGGACAAGAGCCCATGGGCATCAGTGATGTCCTGTGGGGCCAGGCCATGGCCAGTGGCAATGTGCAGGGGACACGGAGGTCCATCTGGGGACAGGCCCACCAGATCACTCGGCAGAGCTTCAAACTGTTGCACCAGGTCCTGAATATTTGGCCCGTCAAGTTCCATTTGACTTAGGCTGCCAGGGCCTCCTGGCGCTGGGTCCCACTGGCAATCAGGGGTGAGGTCCTGAGAGGCTGAAAGTGTGTCCCTGGGCTCCTCCAAGTCCATGGCTGGAGGTCCTGGAGGGAGTTGGGGGGCTGTCAAAAATTCCATGCCTGGACTCCTGGCTCAAGCCAGCATCTGAAAGAGAGAATAAAAGATGAGATTTCCTGGAGGCCAACTTGGTACCAGGTTCTAGCTGGATGCTATTCATACAGGACACATAACTGAATCCCTGTCACACACTGCAAGGAAGGCTCTGTCATGATCCCCATTTCCCAGACGAGGAAACTGTGGCGCAGAATGAGAAATTGTAAGGCAGTGGCTTCCCGGGGCTCCAAATCCCAGGGGATTCCCCTGTACCTGTCACCCCAGATCTCTCCCCATTCGCAGACCCTGTTCACCCCAGGCCTGGTTCTTCCAAGTCTTCCTCCCCTGGGACGTGGATCCAGGTTGAAGACACATCTTGACGATACAGACCTGGCAGATGTAGGTCCCCGAGACCTGGGACTCAAGACCTCGTCCAAGACTTTAGACTCAGAACTTCAGACTTAATACTAGAGCACCAAGATGCCAAAAAGCGGACCCTCATCTCAAAACTTTCAACGCCACAGTCAACATCGACCGACTCAGACAAGAACATCAGACCCAGCCTGACGACACAACTCAAGCCTAAAGCTAAGAGTTAAGACCCCAGACTTAAGACTTCAGACCCGTGACCTCCGGTGCCGGCCGCTGAACCCGCTCTGCCCCGCCGGGACACTCACTTCCCAAACCGAGGTGGCCTCAATCTGCGCGGACTCCAGGACCCCGAGCCGGGACTAGTCTGGTCCTGCCGCTCGCCCACTTTCGCCAATTCCTGGCAGGGGCGCAGGTAGATCTGTCCTCGCCCCGTTCCTGAACCACTGGGCATGCGCACGCTCGCGGGGCCTTGCCGGGAAATGTAGTTCTCCCAGCCAGCTTCCGCGCCGTGGGCCGTGGGGGGGCGGGGTGCCCTACATGTTGGGATCGTAAGTTCGAATCCCGGGTCTCCATTTACGCGGAGTGAAAGCCCGAGCGGGCCTCTGAGCCTGGTTCCTCAAGTTCAAAATGGGGTTAAAAATCACTGCTCGTCTGCTACGGCTGTGGTCATTATTCCAAGGGACGGCAGATGGGAAGAAATGGGACTGGAGAAAAATACGGGAGGTGAAAGAGGTACTCTAGCGACTCCAGGGACCGGAAGCGGCGTGGGAACCTTTTGTACACTGACTTCCGGTGTGGCACACAGTAGGGAGGCCGAATGGCTCTCCTGGCTTAACTTTCCCTCCCTGAATTTCTGACTTCCTCAGTTGTAAACTGGGGATAGTGACAATACCTACTTCGTAATTGGGAAGATTAAACGAAATCGAGCTGGTTACGGATTTAGCGATAGACTTGGAATATAATGAGTCTAATACGTGATAGCGTTTCTTATTTTGACTTTTTCAATAATTGCTCACAGAATAGACTCAGGAGTGCATAAGGTGTGATACTTAATTGATAAGTAACTGAAGAAGGGCAAGAAGTCAATGAAACATCCTTTGGAAGTCGCCTCATACAGCAACCGAGAGTATCTGTGCAAGTTTAAAGAACTCAAAATAAATGTATGCCTAAGGCCGGAGTACTACATTTCCCATAAATCTCTAGGAGCCTACAACTCCCAAGTACCCCTTGGCCGCTGACGTATTCCGGAAACGTGCACGTGCAGGCAGCCGGCGTACGTCATGGCGGCCCGACGCCTCATCGGGGCTACCCGGAGCTGGGCCGGTTGGCGGGCCCGGGAGCTCCCGGACCCTGCCACTCCTGGGAGACTCCATGTACGAGATTATGCCAAGAGACCCGGTAAGCTGTGTTAAGAGAGAACTAGATGGGAACAGTAGGGACATAGAGGAGTGCGCAAGCGCTGGTTGGAGAGTTGCGCCTTAGAGTCAGCGCGCATGCGTTGAGGTGGACTTTAAACGGCGCAGGCGCAGTTTGAAGGACGGAAGCCGATTGGACTCAATTGCGCATGCGCCAGCGATGGTGCGGGTTAGCGCGCTTGCGCTTCACTGCGTAGCTTCCTTTTTTTTTTCCTTCCCGGTGTAGAGACTAGGTCACGAACTTGGGTCCCAATCTCATTTCTGCCTCCAAATCACTGTTACCTTTGGCGTGTTACCACCAGAAACTCGGGGAGTCAGTGGGCCCCACCTCAGTATTAAAACCAAAACAGGGTTATTTAAATTTTCTCTGGATGCAGCCTTGCCTGATCTCTTTCGTTGAAAGGGAGGGAATTGGCAAACGTGAGATTTTGAAGACAGAGCAGGCAGTGGAGGCTTTCTCCGTGAGATAAACGGAAGGACTGAAAACAGAATTGAAAAGGAATAGCTTGGTCCCACTTTAAATCATTTTGAATGCAGCAGGCAGGGTCAGAAAGGGCAAAAGGGGAAAGCTGGCCTCCCGAGGGTGGGGCTGGGCTAAAATGACTCTCCCCCACCGCAGTCATTAAGGGTGGTAAAGGAGGCAAAGGCGGTGTGGTCAGTGAGGCTCTGAAAGACCCAGAAGTGTGTACAGACCCCGTCCGGCTCACCACGCACGCCATGGGTGTCAACATCTACAAGGAGGGCCAGGATGTGGTCTTGAAGCCGAACGCCGAGTACCCGGAGTGGTGAGTGTGCCAGGCCAGAGAACTGGGAGAGCCAGCGACTGGGTGAGGAGGTCCTGACTGATCAAATCTGATCACCTTGGGGAGGTGCTGCATGAGTCAACACCTGAGTGGGTGGACAGAGCTTCAGAGGTGGGTGGGAACAACCAGTGCAACGGTCTGTACCTGGTGTGTTAATGAAACAGCAGGGGCAAGGTGGAAAGTAGAGGGAGACAGCAGGAACTTGATGGAGCACAGCCCTCAGCGGGGCTGCAGGGAGAGCAGTGGCAGGACACGCAAGCCATTGGCACGTGCCATCCTTCAAGCTGGGGGAGGTTTAGTGGGTTGAGTGGGCATTCCAGGTGGGCAATGCAGCATGGACGATGGCCAGGAGGCAGAAGGCTTGGCGTGTGCCCACCTCAGCACCACTGGGACGGGGGGAGGCCCCCCTGTTCCATAGCCAGAGACCCGACCAAGGGTGGGGAGGACTGTCCTGAGACCCTGCAGCCACTGTGGGACCCAGTCCTGCTGTTTCCTCTACCCAGGATTCCTGGGGCAGGGGAGCTGCAGGGGGCTGCTCTGCAACCCTGACTCCTGCCCACACCCTACCAGGCTGTTCCAGATGAACGTGGGTCCCCCCAAGAAGCTGGAGGAGCTGGACCCTGAGACCCGGGAGTACTGGCGGTTGCTGCGGAAACACAACATCTGGCGTCACAACCGGCTGAGCAAGAACCAGAAGTTCTAGCAGGGGAGGGACCGGAGCACCTTGACCCTCCAAGGACTTTTTATTTTCCAGAAAAAAACAGACTTTTCAGAGAACAAAGGAGACCCCATCACTAGGGTTCTTGGGGGGCCCCCACAGAGAGGCTGGATCAGGGTCCTGGGGGCCAATAAAGACTTCTGGGGGCCAATAAAGACTTCAGGGCGACTGTTCGCAGGCCTGGGATGCTTCTGGGTATTGTCTGACACTGGGGCCAGGAGGGACCTGGGGCGGGCAGCGGGTAGGGGAGCACTTCAGACCCAGTGGTTCCATGGCCCAGCCTCCACCCCCAGTGATCAGCTGGGCTTCTGCAGGTTCATCTTTATCTCCGGTCCTCACTGGGCTTCTCACCCTGATTCTTCAAATTCCAGCACTGCCCAGGAGGCTCTGATCTCTGTCCTCGAGGGCAGGCTTTTCTGCCAAGCCTCTCTTGGCTGCAGTGTACTCACACCTGAACCAAGTCATCCAGAGCAGAAAAGAATCTTTGTGAGCTTCAAAAGCTGAAATGTCCAGGGGTAGGTTCTGGCTTCAGGCATAGCTGGATCCAGTTGCTTCAGTATTCAGTGGTGTGGCTCTCTCCACTTCTAGGTCCTTTTAAAGTGGATAGTTCCCCTGGGCAGAGGTGGTTCCAGAACCCCTGGCTGAAACTTCCTACCCAGCGCAGCAAGCCCAGCCAGAGGGAAGGGGCTGCCCTTCCCTTCACACCGAAGTCACAGGGGTTATCTTCACTGGCCAATCTCTTGAGCCGAGGGACCTGGGTTTACCCACCATCCTCCTGTCCACCGTCACTGGTGCTGACCATTGGAGGAAGCTAGAGGACACACAGACACGGTGCCAGGGCCCCACCCCCATGCCGTGCCGTCTCCTTGGTAGGCACCTGCGTAGGGGCTGGACTAGGGCTCCTTCACCCTCCAGGCCCCTCTGTCCAAGAGCTGGACAGATGGGGGAGGGCAGGGTCCCTGGGGCTAGTTCTGCCTGGTCCTAGGAAAATGAGAGCTTTCATCCGCTTAGGAGGACTCTGCCAGGCGGATTACCGCACACCTGCCCTCCCGGTGGCCTGCTCTGGGCAGGCGGAGTGTCCCAACCCTCCTGTGGTTCCCCATGGCTCTCAGGGTAGAAACCAAAGTTGTAATGGCCATAGGCCTCCTCGCTCTTCTCCCAACATGCCAGGCACGGTGCTGCCCCAGGGCCTTTGCATGTGCTGTGCCCTTCGCCTGGGTAGCTCTTCCCTCAGGTGCTCCCATGGCTCCCTCTTTTCATCTCCAGGTCTCTGCTCTGATGTCACCTTCGTGAGGCCTCCCCTGACTACCCTTTTAAACTGCAACCCTGCCACACACTCCTGGCAGCCCCTCCTGGTTTTATTTGCCCCCCAGCACTTACACCAGCAGGCGTTCCATGTTTTACTTGTTTACTTTTAAAATCATGCTTCTTGTCTCTCCTGGAGTGGCAGCTCCATTAGGGCAGGGGTTTTCTCTGCCTTGTTCCCGGTCGCATCCCCACTGCATACTGGATGGGTGGATAAATGGCTGGGCGGAGGGGGTGACCTGGCTGCCTCAGGGGCTGCCAGGCTCACGGGTTCATGGGTTCACGGGTTCACGTGTGAGGTGCCATCGGAAGTTCGGGATGAGCTGTGAGCCCCAGTGGGCAGGTGACCCAGGTGTGAAATTCTTGGAACCTCCCAGGGCCTGTGGTCACTCTGTGGACAGAGCCTGGAGAAGGTGGAGTGCTGCCCTGTCCACGCCCCCTTCCTGTCCTGACCTGGGCTGCCCCATCTCACTGCCAGCCCTAGGCACCAGTAATACCCCATTCCTTGTTCCCCAACAGCCTTATTCCGGCGTCCAGCTCAGGCCTGGGAGAGTGGCCATCATGCCTTCATGATCCCTGGGGAGACACGGTTGGGTTGGACCAGGGCCCCAACCCACCATCAGTGGGCTGGGAGACATGAAGGGGGCAATGGTCAGTAGGCACATAAGCCGTACTTCGATAAATGGGGAGAGCAGGGACAGACAGTATTCACCCAGCGTCAGCCTGCCGCTACCTGAGTCCCCGATTAGCACCTGGCCTGGGTCCAGCATGGCGCCTGGGGCAATGGAGTCAGGCAACGAGTTTGAGAGCAGCTCCACCCTGTCCTGGCTGTGTGGCCCCAGGAAACTGGCTTCACCTCTCTGGGCCTCAATTTCCTCTGCTGCAAGATGGGGCTGATGGCCGCGCCCCGTCATGGGGTAAAGCTCTGGGCACACTGGGAGCACACAGTGAAAGGAGGCGGGTTGAACAGGAGCTGCTACTGCTGGCGTTTCTCGGAGCGAGGCTCTGAGAGTCAGGGTGGCTCGGCTGTTGGAAGATTAGGAGCAGGCAGAGGGATTTAGTTTCATCAGCTCACAGAATTAACATCCTAGTGGCTTCTGATTGCAGCCTTACAGTCTAAGAACCTCAGAATCCACGCCACCCTCACTCATTTGACAGATGGGGAGACTGAGGCCCCACAAGGGCACAGACTCCCTGAGGCCAGGCCAGGAATGCACCCCTGGCCTGGGAATCCTTTGGCCACCTTCTTCCTGAGACTGTGTGCCAGTTCCCCTGCAAGGCAGGGGAAGGAGGTGATGGTGGGGTGGGGGACCCAATGTGGGTGGCCACAGACAGGCTGAGGTGGGAGGGCTGGGCAGGCACCAGGCTCAGGCTGACGGCCAGGCCCTGTCCAGAGCCTGCGCGTGCTCCTTGGCCAGCAGCCGCAGGGATGCTTCCTCCAGGGTGAAGCTGTCTGTGAAGGCTGGACCAAAGGCATGGGGCCCGAAGGACCCCTGCAGCCCCGGGCCCGGGCCCAGGAGGCACGGGAGGCCTGGCACGGCGGGGGGCGCAGGGCCCAGCCAGGGCTCCAGGGGCAGTGGCATGGCAGGAGAGCGGGCAAAGGGCAGTGCTGGGGCCTCAGGGAGCCTTGGGGCTGCCACGGTCCCGGAACCTGACTCCAGACGCTCCTGGCGGCGCCACTTGGCCCGACGGTTCTGGAACCACACCTGGGGGCAGCAAGAGAGGTGCTCCCAGCTCAGGGCTGTGGGGAGAGGTGAGCCCACTCTCCCTGTCTGGGCCCCCAGCCTCTCGGAGTTCTTCCTGCTGTCTAACCTGACTCCCACCTGTTGCAGTGCCAGCGTATCTTGTTACCTGCCTTAAGGAGATGACTGTTTTGAGAGAATGATTGCTACCTCTTGGCCCCTATCAGATCAGCCTCGAAGACTTTTCTGAATCCAACCTCTCCTTGTCTTTCTCTTTGTCCAGGCCTCCTCAGGCCCCGTGGCCTCCTCCCTGGTCTCTCCTGGCCCTGGGCACAAAGGCTCAGCCACTGAGCTTGGCATTTGAGGCCCTTCACAAGCTCTTTCTTCACCTCCCCTTCCACCTGCCTCACACCCAGCTCTAAGGAAATGCCTCCAATTTAACCCCTCCACATCTTTGCACATACTGTTCTAGATGCCTAGAAAAATGCCCTTCCTTCTTTCTAATTGGCAAACTCCTACTTAAACATCAAGGCCCCAGTCCCACATCCCATCTTCCAGGAAGCGTTCCCATGCACTGGGAGGGTCCATTATCTGGCACTGGCTCCCCCCCAGCTTGTTAGGGGGTATCCTCACCTGCACGCGCACCTCGGGCAGGTGCACCTTGGCTGCCAGCTCCTCGCGGCTGTAAACGTCCGGGTAGTGGGAGGCCTCGAATGCCCGCTCCAGCTGGTGCAGCTGATAGGTGGTGAAGGTCGTGCGGTTCCTCCGGTGCTTCTTCTTGGGGGTCTCCTCCCCTGGCCCCGGCCCCCCGCCCTCAGCCGCCGGCCCCTCTCCCGGGCTCAGGAACATGGTGCCTCCTCGCCCCCACCTGGCGGGACTGCAGCAGGACAGATGGTGGTGAGACAGGAGGGACTGCAGCTGGGAGGGCAGGGGAGCCCCCAGCCCCTGCTGGGTGTGGGGTGAGATGTGGAGGGGCTCCTCCCCTTGCTGGGTCCTGCGTTCATTCTGCCTCCCTAGTCTCTCTGTCCATCTTGGATTCTCTCTCTCCGTGTCCACTTCCTTCTGTTCTGATTACTTTTCTCTGTGTCTCTGCCCCGCCACCTCTATTTCTCTTTCTCTCTGGAGCCCTCCCTGACTGCCTTTATCTCCCTTTATCTCTGTCTCTGGGTCTAGGAACCCCAGGAAGGCAGGAGCTGGGCCACTGCCCCAGGGAACACTTCCTTACTCCCAAGACATCTGCCCTAGGGGGCTCTCTGTGCCCCCAACTCCCACCCAGGCCCACCTGTGCCCACCTGCCCAGTGCTCACCGCCCCCAGCAGCCCCTCCAACGGCCCCCGCGGGCTGAGCGCCGTGTCAGCTGCGGGCCTGGCCCAGCCAGACCCAAGGGGGTTGGGGCCAGGCGGTAGGGAGGATTAGCGAGGTGATTAATTGAGGTGGCCCCTCCCACCCAGGTGCTGGCTGCTCTGAGCCACAGCAGGAGGGCTGGGCGGCAGAGGGCTGGGGCTCCAGGGGTTGGAGGGACACCGGCAGCCTGGGTCTGCCACCCCTCACTGTAGGACATCCACAAGAGCCTCCCCTCTTTGGGCCTCAATTTTCCCAGCTGTAAAACAGCTAGAACTTACCCCATGGGGTAAAACAACAGAACTTGCTCCATGGGGCTCTCACAGGGACTCAATGAACTGATGAAAGAGCACTGCACAGTGACTGGCAGACAGTGAGTGCTTAAAGAACGCCCACTGTGACTGTTTTTTATCATCTGGGGTGAGAAAAAGGCCCTCTTAGATTCACAGCTGTCAGCAGGGGTTGGGGAAACTGAGGTTCCCAGAGATGAAGGCAATTCCAGTTGGCTCCCCTGGACATTGTGCAAGGCAAGGAGTTTAGGGCATTTTAGCTGGGTTTTGGGGCAAGAACAGAAGTTCACTTTTGAGTCACTCAATAAACACTTAAGTGAGCTTACCATATCCCAGGTGCTATTCACAGCAGTAAACAAAGCAGACCCAAATCTTGGAGCTGGCATCCTAGTGGGGACAAAGACAATCTGCAACTACGTGAGTAGAATGTAGCATGTCAGGTGCAGAAGCCTGGGGAGAAAACTCAAGCGGGGAATGGGGGAAGGTTGGTCTTTTAAGGAAGGTGATCAGAATGGGAGATGGAGTGAAAGACTGTAAATTCTGGACAAGACTGGGTATGAAGGAGATAGTACTGGGGAGCCATTGGAGGTTGTGGAGCAGGGAAGGGGCACAGATGGCATTTTCGATGAGCATCTATTGTGGGCAAGATGGAAGGCCAGGAGAAGGCCAGAGGCCTGGTCAGGGCAAGGTGCGGGGAGATGGGGACAGGAGGGCAATTCCGGGGGAGGAGGAGAAAGTTTGAGGAGGCGGCGCAGGTATACCCAGGCCCCTGTTTGCAGGACAAGTGGGTACACACACACACACACACAGTGCAGGCCCTAGAGGAGTTGGCGGTAGAGTCCAGAGGCCTTCAACCAGGAGGAGAATTAACGCCCGAGGGGTGAGCGGGGCAGGGAGACCAGGTTCAAGGGGCAGCCGTTTCAAGAGGCCCCCTGGGGCCCCTCTAGGTCTCAGCTGCCTGGTCTGTAAGGTGGGCTGTGGACAGGGGAGCAATGCCTGTGGTGTCGGGGGAGGTAATTCCCTAATTGCTTCATCACTTTAAAATGCTGACGAGCTGCTCTGGTCTCAGGCCCCAGCTGGCTAACTGGCCCCAGGTGGGTTACGAGGTGCAGGAGGGATCCGGGTGTTGGGCGTGGGGGGCTTTGGCGACTTAGCAGGATGCAGCTGAAGGTTCAGACGCTGTGTCAGCTTAGAGGGCCGGATTAGGGGCGGGCCGGGGTGGTGCGGGGCCACGGGCACAGGTGGCCCCCTCCAGCTGGATCAGGGGGGCCAGGCCACTCTCAGCCCCTCCAGCCTCCCACCTGTTATTTCTACCCCAGGAAAAGCCGCTAAACCCCTTCAGGTGTCGGTGGGGAAACTGAGGCCCGAGGGTGGTGGGGCTCAAGGGCACTGCAAGTCAGCGTGATGCCGAGACTTTCTCTGGCTCAGCTGGGGCAGAGGTGGGTCAGCCGAGCTGGGAGCATGTGCTGTGGCCTGAAAGCCCCTCATAGATCAGGGGGTCCTGGAGTGGCGGCCATGCCCATCTGGCCAAAGACCCCCCCACCCACACCCAGGCATCCTAGAGGCTGGCTGGTTGGGAACGTCAGAGAGGGAGTGGTTGACAATCACAGCAATAACTGAGCACCAGCTGTATGCACTCAGCCCTTCACTGGTGTGAGCCTTCGGAGTCCTCACGCCTGATCATAGAGGAGGCTGCTGGGACTCAGGGAGGGGGACTGCCCCCTCGGTTTGCCCAGAACACGGCAAGATTAGCACTCGTGTCCCTCATCCCAGATACACCCTCAGTCCGAGGCAGTGGGCCACGCAGCCAGGGGGTCGCCAGGACTGGAAGCTGGGCTGAAAGCCCAGAGCCCCAGGCCCACACGGGAGAGGACAGGAGGGGCGGGGCCTGAGGACAGGCCTTGCGGCTGGCGTGTTTCAGCAAGCGTGCCCCTGGAGTTACTGGGTCAGGCTGTTAGGTCGTGACAGGTGGGGGATACGGGAGGCCACACAGGAGTGTCCCCAGGAGGGGACACCACAGCAGTGGCAGGCCCTCCCTGGGCTTCTATACACCCTCTCTGAGGGGCCAGGGCTGGGGACAGAAGAGGATGCCAGCACAGGGAGCTTAGACCTCTGTGGCCGCTGGCACTCTCTCATGGCCCTTTGCAACTGGGACCCCCCGAGGGCTTAGGGTGGGGTCCTCACCACTGAATATGGCGCCCACAAGTGGTGTGCAGTGGAGAATCTGTGCATGATGGCAAGTGGGTCCACAGGGGGCTCTGGATCCCTGGGGGTTTCCTGGCTCCATCCCCAGGGAAATGTATGTCCTCAAGGGCTGCAGGGTACTAGCTCGGTGAACCCCTCAGGGGAGAGACACCTGGACAGGCAGATCCCCACCCCGACTGAGTGATGTGGGTGCCCCGGGGGGACACAAGGGGCAGCAGAGAGAGACAGACACCCAGTCTCTGGTACCAGTCTTTATCCAGGTGCTAATTCTTCGCCTCCCCGGAGCTGTGGTGCCCATGGGCGGCCCGCAGCCCCCCACATGGGCCTGCCCCTACGATGCTAGCCGGGTGGGCAGCTCGCTGGCCCTGCTCCTCTTCAAGCCTGGACCATGTCCCCACCCTGTACCCCCTACTCTTTCGTCCTCTGGGGCTTGAGGCCCCGCGGGCAGGGTCACGGCTCCTGGCTGTGGGGCGAGGTGGAGCTGTCCACGTCCTGCCCCCCAGTGGGGGCCGATGCACCTGCGCTGCGCAGCTCCCGGGCCAGTTTCTCGGCCAGTTTGCGGAAGGGTGGTCGGCGAGCCGGCTCAGCCTCCCAGCAGCTGCTCATGAGGGCATGGATGGGGCCTGGGCAGCCCTCGGGGGGCTCCATGCGATACCCCTTCTCCACGGCCTCTGACACCTCCTTCAGCGACTGTGGGCAAAGGGCATGCTGGTGTGGGCTGGGGGTCAGGGTCACAACCTCTAGACCTGCACAGGACCCAGCCCTCCCCCTGGACCCTGCTCACCATCTTGGGGTATGGAGCCCGGCCGTATGAGAAGACCTCCCACAGCAGCACCCCAAAACTCCAGACATCTGACTTGCTGGAGAACTTCTGTGGGGCCCGAGATCAGGTTGAGGAGGGACGCCCTCAGGGCTTCTGCTCCAGCCCTGCTTCCTCCAGGAAGTCTCCCTGGGTTGACCTTCACCCTCTGGTCTCCTCCCAGTAGACTCCTGCCCCCAGATCTACCCGCCCACCCCAAACTCAGCCTCAGAGCAAGAACGAGGTTATTCTTGCTGTCAGTGCTGAGCCCAAGGCTGTTTCAGAAATGAGGAGACCAAGGCCCAGACAGGGGCTAAAAGGAACAAACACGGGCCAAGGGCTGACTGGGAAGTGGAGCAACTTCCCGTGGGAGTTTAGAGAGGTCAAGAGACCGGCCCAGGGTCACACAGTGGAGCTAGGTTCCAAGGGCCCTGGTGGGTAAGGAGGGCTCACCCCGTGTTTGAGAGCCTCGGGTGCCGTCCACTTGACTGGCAGCCGGCTGGAGTCCAGTCCCTTCCTCTCGGCTTTGGCCAGGCCGAAGTCGCTGACCTTGGCCACCAGGTCCTCGGACACAAGGATGTTCCGGGCGGCCAGGTCTCGGTGCACCAGCTTCTTGCTCTCCAAGTATTCCATGCCCTCGGCCACGTGCCTGGGGAGGGGGCACGGGGCTCGGGTGCCTGGGCCACAGACTCCTCCCTGCTCCGTGCCTGGGTTTTCCCGCCCCCTGGGAGCCCCACTCACAGGGAAAACTGCAGGAGCTGCGGGGTGTTTACGAGGGCCCGGCCCCGCGTCCGTAGGAAGTTCACCAGGTTACCCTGTGGGGGAACACCGGCGGGGTTAGGGGGTGCTCGAGGCCGCTGGGCCGCCTCCCGCCCCGCCCCCACCTTGCTCACGTGCTCCATGCCACGCCCACCTCGGCTCCGCCCCCACCTTGGGCCGCGCCCC